GCGAATGCCGAAAGCCCGCTTCGGGCCGGTGGCGACAGGGCTTAGTTTGGACTTCCTTTGACTAGGGAATATATCTTTTCTCAAGTGAAGCCAAACCCAATCCCCAACTTCAAAGGTTACCTTTTTCCTCCCTTTGTTGTTGTACTTGGCATATTTTTTAGTTTGTTTTTCAATTTGGCTCTTGACTTTTTCATGATATTTTCTTATAAATTCAGCCCTATATACTCCTTTTTTTGTGGTACAAGGAAGTAGTATTAGGGAGTGGGATCAAGTCAAGAAGGGTAAGGGGATTAAAGCCATATACAACCTCAAAAGGAGATAGGTTAGTAGTCTTGCGGACTACTCTATTATATGCAAACTCTATGTGGGGGAGGCATTCATCCCAAATTTTCTTGTTCCCTTTCAAAATGACCCTTGACAATGTGGATAAGGAACCTATTCATTACTTCAGTTTGCCCATCGGTTTGTGGGTGGCAAGTAGTGGAATAAACAAGCTTTGTTCCTAGTTTTTCCCAAAGAATTTTCCAAAAGTGACTAAGGAACTTAGCATCCCTATCTGACACAATAGTCTTGGATAACCCATGCAAACGGACCACCTCTTTAAAGTAAAGTTTAGCAATATAACTAGCATCATTTACTTTGTGGCATGGTATAAAATGAGCCATTTTGTTAAAACGATCCACAACCACAAAGATTTGGGTCGTTGCGAGACCAAGCACAAAATCCATACTAATGTCAACCCAAGGGGAGCTAGATATAGGAAGAGGGGTGTAGAGTCCATGAGGCATTACTCTTGATTTTACTTAAAGGCAAGTGATACACTTAGAGCAATGCCTTTGAACGTCCACTCTCATGTGTGGCCAATAAAATTTAGATTTCAAAAGACTCAGGGTTTTATCAACCCCAAAAATGGCCCATGAGACCTCCCTCATGACTTTCCTTAACCAAAAGCTTTCTAATGGATCCTTGGGGTATACAAAGTCTTCCCATTTTAAAAGGTACCCTTCAAGAAGATAAAACCCATCAAAAGGCTTTTGGAGGCATTTGGTGAAGGTGGATTGGAAATCTTGATCATCCTCATACAACTCCTTTATATTATCAAAACCAAGAATTTGAGACCCCAAGGAAAAGAGTAATGAGTGCCTTCTAGATAAAGAATCCACCACCACATTATTCTTTTCCTTCTTATATTTGATAATATAAGGGAATTGCTCAAGATATTCGACCCACTTGGCATGTATTTTGTTTAACTTCCATTGCCCTTTAATGTACTTAAGTGACTCATGATCGATGTGTATGATAAATTCCCTAGTCACTAAGTAATGCTCCCAAACTTGGAGGGCTCTAATAAGGGCATAAAGCTCCTTGTCATAGGTGGGATAATTCAAGGTGGCCCCATGAAGTTTTTCACTAAAGTAAGCAATGGGGTGGCCTCCTTGTAGTAACACGACACCTATGCCAAAACCGGATGCATTGCATTCTAGCTCAAAGGTTTGAGCAAAGTTTAGAAGGGCTAGAATGGGTGCACTGATGAGCTTTCCCTTAAGATCATTGAAAGCTTTTTCTTGGGCTTCACCCCAAATGAAAAGAACATCCTTCTTAACAAGCTCATTAAGAGGGGATCCAAGTGTGGATAATTCTTTGACAAATCTTCTATAGAAGCTTGGTAAACCATGGAATCTCCTCACATCTCCCAAACTTTTTGGGGTGGGCCAATCTTAGATGGCTTTTATTTTCTCGGGGTCAACTTGCACTCCGTCTTTGCGAACTATAAAGCTTAAAAAGTTCACATTCTCTTTACAAAAGGTGCATTTCTCCAAGTTGGTATAGAGGTGGTTGTCCCTAAGAATTAGTAAGACTTCTCTTAGATTTCCAAGATGCTTATCTAAGGATTTGCTAAAAACTAGAATGTTAATAAAATAAACAACTACAAATTTCCCTATGTAATCCCTAAGTACATGATTTATTAGATGCATGAAGGTGCTAAGGGCATTGGTGAGACCAAAAGGCATCACTAACCATTCATACAAACCAAACTTGGTTTTAAAAGCGGTTTTCCATTCATCACCCTCTTTGATTCTAATTTGGTGATAACCACTCTTAAGATCAATTTTGGAGAATATGATGGCCCCATGTAGTTCATCCAACATATCATCTAGCCAAGGGATTAGTGCCTATATTTTATGGTAATGTTATTGATGGCTCGACAATCTGTGCACATCCTCCATTTTCCATCCTTCTTAGGCACCAAAAGAACTGGGATGACACAAGGACTAAGGCTCTTTTGAACCCATCCCTTTTTCAAAAATACCTCAACTTGAGTTTCTATCTCTTTTTTTTCTTAGGGATTAGTCCTATAGGCGAGCCTATTTGGTAGACTTGCTCCCGGAATGAGGTCTATTTGATGCTCTATTCCTCTTAAAGGCGGAAGTCCACTTGGAACCTCTTGAGGAAATAGATCATCAAATTCTTTGAAAAATATTTGGACCTCTTGAGGTAGAGACTCAAGTTCATGGCTAGTAGTAGTGAGTTTCTCTTTCAAACAAAGAAGGTATAAAGGTTTTTCAAGCAAGAGTGTTTTATTAATATCATTTTTGAGAGATAAGTGACTCTTGTGAACAACTTTTTTAGAGGGAACACTTGCCTCTAAACTTGATACCTTTTTTTTCCCTTTCTTTAGTCCATGAAGGATGACCTTTTTTTTTCATTTTTTGATTTTTGCTTTTGTTTTCTTTATTTTTCCTCTTCTTCTCTTTTAGCCTTCATTTTGATTTGATCCTTACTCACTTGAGAAGGTGATAGAGGACACAAAATGATTTTTTTT